CTCCAAAGCTACACAGAGAAACCCTTTCTCAAAAAACCAAAATAAATAAATAAATAAATAAATAATAATTCATAGGAACAGTACCTGATAGCTCATACCTGCAGTGAGTCTGAGGTTGGCCTGGCCTACAGACCGTTAGAAAGAAAAGACAGCGGGCAGGCAGGCGGGCGGGCACCTGACACACAATGCTTAATACAATGTTAGTTTACAGAGTCCACTGATTTGGTTGGGTTTAGATTGACCGTAGCAGGCACAGGCTTCCTTGACCTGTGTGCACAGTCTCCCTACTATTTTTTGGTGGCAAGTAATATGTAGCCAGGAGACATACAGTCAGGGCCAGGATCTGGCTGAGGACTGTGAACTGAGGTAGAGGGAGATAGGGAGGGCTGTGGGGTATATGTCCCCAGGTGTGGCTGAGGCACAAAGGCCAGCAATAGAGCTGTCAGAACATGCTGGATACTGAGGGTACAAAAGCTGTAGAGAGCCCCAAGGCCAAGCTGAGCTGATACTCAGACTTGGAAAGCAGAGTAAGGAAAGAGCCTTCCGAGTCTGGCAGTCATCCAAGGGCACTGTGGGGTCATGACTCCACAGGGCAGGGAGAAGGGAGCAGAGAAAGCCTTGTCTGCTTGTACTTTAGGTCCCTATTGGGCTTATGGGAGCCTCGAGATACCAGTTGGGGTCTTGTGTTTTTTCATATTCTTTTTCCACTTGCCAGGTGACAGGAGATCCTGGGGCTGTACTGTGGCTGGAAGAGATCCGCCAGGGAGTGGCCAGAGCCAATGAGGACACAGACACAGCTCAGAAAAGTAAACAGCCAGACACTGGGAGAGCCGAGTGGAGCCCCACCCCGTCTCACCTTAGCCATGGGAAACAGCTTAGCTTGCTTTCTATTGCTGGATGAACACCATGACTGAAAGCAACTTGGGGAGGAAAGGGTTTATTTTGGGGGAGGGGAGGTTTCTAGACAGGGTTTCTCTGTGGTTTTGGAGCCTGTCCTGGCACTCGCTCTTGTCTCAAACTCACAGAGATCTGCCTGCCTCTGCCTCTGCCTCCCGAGTACTGGGACTAAAGGCGTGCACCACCACCGCCCAGCTGAAAGGGTTTATTCTTACTCTTCCACATCACAGTCTATCCCCTCCATCAGCCATGGCGGCTATGTGTCTCCTGGATCCGGACACACTGGACAGGTCAGGGCTCATGGGAGGGACTCCAGAGGATTGACTTTTCTCTCCTGATGCCCAATCAGTAGCCCTTGGTGTGGCTGCCATCAATCAGGCCATCAAGGAGGGCAAGGCAGCCCAGACAGAGCGGGTGTTAAGGAACCCCAATGTGGCTCTTCGAGGGATAGTTCCTGACTGTGCTGACAGCTACCAGCAGGCCCTGGAAGGAACAGCAGCAAGGAAGCGACGTCCTGGTAATGGCCCTGGCCTAACCTTCCTGCCTGCTGCTTCTCGCCTCCTCTGAGCCTTCTTGGCTCACTTAAGTTTCTACTCAGGGGATACAGCCGCCTTCTGGGTTCAACATGACATGAAGGATGGTACGGCCTACTACTTCCATCTGCAGACCTTCCAGGGCACTTGGGAGCATCCTCCCAGCTGCCACCTCAATACCGCCCATCTGACCTGGGAGGAGATCCAGGTGGGCAGGGTTCCTGCCAGGGTAGGGGACTGTGCATGGGGAGAGGCTCCTACCCACCAAAGGACTCCTGTCTCCACAGTCAGTCATCACCAAGGTCACCTCAGCTCATGACCGCCAACTGCTCTGGAAAGCCAATGTTGGCCTTGTCGTCCAGCTTCAGGCCCGCCTCCGTGGCTTCCTTGTTCGCCAGAAGTTTGCTGAGTGTTCCCACTTTATCAGGACCTTGCTCCCAGCCGTCATCAAGATTCAGGTGGTAGCCTTGGCTTTTCTCCATGCCTATGTGTCCACCCTCCTTCCCTTTCCCTGGGTGGGGTTGGGATGATTCTTGGACCTTTGAGCAGCAGTGATGAAAGGTGTGGACTCTGTAGCTAGATTACCACGGTTAGAAGCCCAACTCCCTGACCTATTGGCCATGTGGCCCTGTAAGCTTACCCTCCTCCCAAAGAAAATGGGAATGGCAGTGCTGCTTTACAGGGTAGTTAGGAAGGTTTAGTAAGACAATGTCTAGAGTGTTTCTGTACAGTAAAAGCAGGACATAAACACCAGTTACTGGCATCATCGACACCACTGGGGATGAGTGAAGTGAGATTCAAACACTTTCCCTGGAGCAGGAGTTGTGAGGAGTGGCTGGGGGCTAGGCAGAAAGGGAGTCCGCCCCTTCCTGTCAGATGTTAGCGACCAACCGATGTGTGGTCCTCTCTAGTGGGCATTCTATTCAGTTCTCCTATCCTGTGCATGGCCCATGGAGTGACTGGGGCAGGAGACTAGCTGGGAAGGTAGCCAGACCACTCTGTGAGCTAGAAATAAGGGACCCTCCCTTGTCAGGTGTGATGTGGAGAGTTCCATGGGAACAACAGCAGTGTAACCCCTTGCAGACCTTGTTGAATAAGCATCCTTGGTGCCTCGTAACTTCAAAGCATGCCCCAGTGCACAGGGCAAGGTTCAGAGATGGAATAGCCATGGTTCTCCCTTTCAAGAACTGGAGTATGGTTGGCATTAGATGTCACAGGAGGGACACAGACAGAGGCAGCCCAGTGCCACCAGCTAATGCCCTGCCTCACTCAGCTTTGGGAAAGTAAGATTCACAGGTGAGGCAGCCTAGATACCCTGAGAGTTTACTGGCTCCTGGAAGCTCTGGTCATCAATGGATCTCCAAAGTTCTCAGCACTGACTAGTCCAGATTGGGGGCATATTTTGGTTTGTTGGTTTTACACTTATATATTTATATTGTATGTATATATGTGTGTATATATAGGCTATGGTATACATTGAGGCCAGAGGACAAGTTACAGGAGTTAGTTCTCTTTTCACCATGTGGGTCCTGGGGGATTGAACTCTGGTATAAGTCATCTCATCAGCTTGGGAGGCATGTTTTTTGTTTTGTTTTCTTTCTTTTTTTTTTTTTTTTTTTTTTTTTTTTTTTTTTGCAAAGTCTTTTTTTTTTTAAGATTTTTATTTATTTATCATGTATACAGTCTTCTGCCTGCATGCCAGCAGAGGGCACCAGATCTCATTCAAGGTGGTTGTGAGTCACCATGTGGTTGTTGGGAATTGAACTCAGGACCTCTGGAAGAGCAGTTAGTGCTCTTAACCTCTGAGCCATCTCTCCAGCCCCAGGAAGCATGTTTTTAGGGAAGAATCTTGTCAGGGCCGGCAGAGTGTAGGGGAACATGATGCGTTCTCTGGTGGGGGAGGAGCTAGGGGCATGGTGCATTCTCTGGTGAATGCTGGTGAGCATTTGTGCTTTATTAGTATTTTGGGGTCCATATCTCTCATTTGAGTTTCCGTGAGGAGGTATTAAGGTTTTTTTTTTCTTTTTTAGATTTTTATTTATTTATTATGTATACAACATTCTGTTTCCATGTATATCTGAACACCAGAAAAGGGCACCAGATCTTATAACGGATGGTTGTGAGCCACCATGTGGTTGCTGGGAATTGAACTCAGGACCTCTGGAAGAGCAGTCAGTGCTCTTAACCTCTGAGCCATCTCTCCAGCCCCCTAGTCTTTCTTATAAAGCTGGAAGACCTTTGAGAACAGGGCCAATTTCCCTTCCCCACACCTTCTGTCTTAGTTACTGTTGTATTGCTGTGAAGAGACACCATGACCAAGGCAACTTATAAAAGGAAAGCATTTAACTAGGGGCTTGCTTACAGTTTCAGCAGGTTAATCCATGATCATCAGGCAGGAAGCATGGCGGCAGGCAGGCAGGTGCTGGAGCAGTAGCTTAGAGCTTACATCTGATTCATAAGGCAAGGCAGAGAGAGTGAGACCAGACCTGGTGTGCATTTTAAAACCTTGAAGCCCACCCTCAGTGATACACCTCCTCCAACAAGACCAAACCTCTCAACAGTCCATTACTGGGAACCAAACACTCAAATACATGAGCCTATGGGGGTCGTTCTCACTCAAACCACGCCATCCTAAAAAGCCCAGGGTAAAGCTGTTCCCACCGACCTCTTGAGCCCAAGGAGGTCTGCTAGGGTTGGTTCCCTCTTATGCTTGGCAGGCTCATTGGCGGGGTTATAGACAACGGAAGATTTACCAGGAGCGGCTGCAGTATTTTAAAGCAAACCTGGATGCTATAATCAAGGTAACTGTAGTGGTCTGGGTGTCCTTTCTCTTGAGGGACCCTCAGTACACTTTTGTCATTCTTTTACCTCCTTGTGGCCCTGGAGTTGATTGAATTGGCTAGGGTCTGAGGGTGAGTCTCTGCCCGGTGTTCTGAAGGTAGTGTCTTCTCTCAGATCCAGGCCTGGGCCCGGATGTGGGCAGCCCGGAGGCAGTACCTCAGGCGCCTACGATACTTCCAGAAGAATGTGAGTGCTGGCCCACCATACCTGTCTTTACCCACAGATCAGAGTAAAGTGAATACAAGGCCCCCACCTGTTCTCTTATGTCCGTGGTAGGTTGACTCCGTTGTGAAGATCCAAGCATTTTTCCGAGCCAGGAAAGCCCGTGATGACTACAGGATGTTAGGTATGCTGCGGAGACAGAGACCCGGAACCAGACAGGTCTAGGTGTCCCTTTGGGACATCCCATTTTCTGAGGTGTGTAGAGTCCCAGATAGTTTTATTGTAGGCAAGGCTCCTCTAACCAGGTATCTTCTGGGCAGGCATAGCCTGTCCGTCCCTCTGTGCTATGCACTTCCCCCGCCCTGAGCTTCCAGCTGTCCCACCTCTGCAGCTTGCTCCTCTTGGCTTGCCCAGTTTGGCTTCCTATTGACCCCAGGACCACCTACCTGAGGATGGTCCTCTCCACAGTAGATGGGGCCCTTCCTCATCAGTCATTAATCAAGAAAACGCCCCACAGACTTCCCTACAGGCCAGTGTGATGGGGGCATTTTCTCAGCTGAGGCTCCATCTCAGATCACGCTAGTTTGTGTCAAATTTACACAGAGCAAACAAGCCACCATTGTGCCATACTCCAGGCACACTGCACTTTCAGCTTCTCCTGGCCTCTGCTGTTGCCCTTTCTCACCCACCCACCCACCAGATAGTAGATGGGGCTGCACATAGTAAGTGGGGCTACGAAGCCCCTGGCAGGGTTTCTTTGCTCTTACTTTTGTTTCCCTGAGAGATCTCTCCCACTTGCCCCTCTCAAAGCTACAGCCGTGCATTACCTAACAGTGGCTCATCTGCCTAGATCCCTTACCAGATTCCCTCTAGCCACAAAGTCTAGATTATTCAGCCTCCAAATCTGACTGTTTCATTTATAGCCAGCTGGGTAACCTAGGGCAAGCTACCTGGCCTCTCTCTGCCTTTGGAAGCTCATCGGTAAGATGGATACCACAGTGTTTGGCCCATTGATTTTTTTTTTAAAGATTTTATTTATTTATGTGTATAACATTCTGCTTCCGTGTATATCTGTACACCAGGCAGGGCACCAGATTTCATAATGGATGGTTGTGAGCCACCATGTAGTTGCTGGGAATTGAACTCAGGACCTCTGGAAGAGCAGTCGGTGCTCTTAACCTCTGAGCCATCTCTCCAGCCCGGCCCATTGAATTTTTAACAGCACTTAGATTTGGGCCTGGAGAGATGGCTCAGTAATTAAGAGAACCCAGGTTTGATTCCCAGCACCCACACATGACAGCCCACAGTTGTCTGTAGATCCAGTCCCAAGGGATCTGGTGCCTCCTTCTGGCCTTTGTATAGTGCACAGACATACATGCAGGTGAAACACCCATACATGTAAAATAAGATGAAAACAAAAACACTCAGACTCAGGACTGATGGCACCTGCCTGTAAGCCAGCACTTGGGAAGCAGAACAGCAGGATCCTGAGTTCAAGGCTAGCTGGGGCTGCACCTCAATACTGCCTTAGATGCACCAAATCAGCAATAAGACATGAGGAACCCTGCCTGTCTCAGTGAACATTGCATGTATCTTGTTTCCATGAAGTTTAGCTCAGAGGTTTCTTTGGGTTTTTTTTGTGTGTTTGTTTTCTGGCCTCTCTTATAAAGTTGACCTCCTTAGTTACCAACTCCCCACCCCAACCTTGGACACTCCACACAAGTGCTACAGGAAGCTGGCAGGGCTAGGTTGTGGCTGGCAGGCCAGGGGCGTGAGAAGCAGGCCAGCCCAGCAGGCAGGGGAGTAGGTAGGGTAGGTAGAACAAGGATGCCTTTGAAGAGCTTTAAAAAGCGCTGGGGCCCTGGCTTTGGTGGCGGAAGTCACTACAGAGGCCCACATGCGTGGTGCAGAGAACAGCTGTGCCACTCCTAGGTGTGACATAAGAGCCCAGAGATAGACCTGGATCGGGCACAGGGGATCCTCGTGGGGCAGGGGCTGCCAAAGAGGCTCTGCGCCACCTGCCTGATGCGCGTCTCCCCTCCTGCCAGTGCACGCTCGCCACCCTCCCCTCTGTGTGGTGCGCAAGTTTGTTCACCTCTTAAACCAGAGTCAGGAGGACTTCTCAGCTGAGGCGGAGCTGCTGAAGCTCCAGGAAGAAGTCGTCAGGAAGATCCGGTCTAATCAGCAGCTGGAGCAGGACCTCAACCTCATGGACATCAAGATCGGCCTGCTGGTGAAGAACCGAATCACCCTACAGGTGAGAGGCCCCTGGCCACCCAGTCCAGCCGCTCCCACGGGAATCCTTACCACTCTTCAACTAGCAATTCAACCCTTTTCAAATGTGTGTGGTCCCTGTGACAGTGGCCCTCTGCCCTTGTGATCAGCCATTGAATGTGTGTGTGGTGCAGAGCCCCGTGGGTAGGATAGGACTGGCTGGCTCTGCTGACTTCTAGTGAAGGGACTGTAGGTGGACCTTGAAGTCTGTTTCCTGCGTGGCTCGCTGGAAGTAAGGAGTTGCTGTCTCCTCCGGCAGAGTGCAGAGACAGATGTGGAAGCTCTATAAATCACATTCAGATAAGGAGTAGCAGGCCAACGATGTTCCACCCCCACGATTGTATATTAGTCAATAAATAGTAGCAAGAACACAAGCAGGCACAGTACCACTGCCTGGCAGCCCCTAGTTTTGTTGTTTGCTTTTAAAGATTTATATTATGTACACAGTATTCTGCCTGCAAGTATGCCTGCAGGCCAGAAGGGGGCACCAGATCTTGACGGATGGTTGTGAGCCACCATGTGGGTGCTGGAAATTGAACTCAGGACCTCTGGAAGAGCAGCCGGTTCCCTTAACCCCTGAGCCATCTCTCCAGCCCCAGCCCAGAGTTCTTTAAAGCCTCACCTGTGAAAGCAGGGGTGTCAGGTGGCATTGTAGAGGATCTTTCCTCTCCCAAGCCCTGGCTTTTCAGACAGAGTCTGGACCACATGTTTCATGGTTGGTACTAGTCTGGGCTGGTTGGTTTGCCCCTACCCCTACATCCAGGAAGTCGTGTCACACTGCAAGAAGCTGACCAAGAAGAATAAGGAGCAGCTGTCAGACATGATGGTCCTGGACAAACAGAAGGGGTTAAAGTCACTGAGCAGAGAGAAACGGCAGAAGCTAGAAGCTTACCAGCACCTCTTCTACTTGCTGCAGGTGAGCAGGACTCTCTGAGGAGAGCCTTGGGGGGGTGTCATGCAGCGGTAGAGCACCTACCTTGCACATACAGCACTGAAGAAAAACAAGCAATTTAAAAAGCCAAGAAGTCTCCATCATCTCTTGAGCTTGTTCTCTTTGCCTTTCTAGATGCCCTTCTAATGCCCTGTTTCCAGGGACAGAACCTATCTCTCCCCATGTGGCTGGGATATTTCCAGTGCCCTGAGAGGGCCATCCTTTCCTCCATGTGAGGAAATCCTTTCTTTGTAACTGATCTGATGGCCAACTCTCCAAGAGCATTCCCAACCCTCTGTCTCCTTGATTGTTTGCAGACTCAGCCCATCTATTTGGCCAAGCTGATCTTTCAAATGCCTCAGAACAGAACCACCAAGTTCATGGAGGCTGTGATTTTCAGCCTCTACAACTATGCTTCCAACCGCCGGGAAGCCTACCTTCTGCTCCAGCTGTTCAAGACGGCACTCCAGGAGGAAATCAAGTAGGCTCTCCTGCCTGCGGAGCGGGGTTGGGGATGGGTCAGAGATGGCAGCTGTATGCACCTACAAATGGCATCAGTAGGCCATTCTTCTCTTCAGCCTATGGGAAGAATATAAGACAGCTCTGGAGGGCTGACCTCGAAGGATGACACCCAGACAGTGGGACCTCCCTTAGGGTGGGTACTAGAGTAGTTCTCCTTAAAGTATGAGGCCAGTAACCTATTGCACCACAGGTCAAAGGTGGAACAGCCCCAGGATGTGGTGACAGGCAACCCAACAGTGGTGAGGCTGGTGGTGAGGTTCTACCGCAATGGGCGGGGACAGAGCGCTCTACAGGAGATCCTGGGCAAAGTTGTCCAGGAGGTGCTGGAAGACAGGTCAGTCAGCATCCACACAGATCCTGTCCACATCTACAAGAGCTGGATCAACCAGGTGGAGGCCCAGACCGGGCAGCGCAGGTGAGCCAGCAGGCGGGGGCGCATGCTCTGATCAGGTCCCTCTGGGGATCGCTAGGGAAGCCTGCCTGTGTTTGAAGGTGGCACACAAAGGACTATGCTGACACGAAGCAAGATTTAGGCCCTGGCTTTCTGTTATCCCAGCTGCCAAGGATGATTTGATAGCAGCACCTGGTATCTGATTTCATGTCTGACATTTCTTCCTGCTCTTTTCCAGCCGCCTTGTGGCTTCTGACTCCTCCCTCTCTGTGTATCCTTACCGCCGCGGTCCTCCCCCTGTGTATCCTCACCGCCGCGGTCCTCCCTGGGTGCTGGCTTTTTCCTCTGGCCCTTCCTCTTGGTGTACTGGTCTGTCTTGAGCCTCTCTGTAGAAGAGTGTATAGTTAGGGAAGAGTTGATGGGGAAGTTTGGGAAAGGAGGCAACAGAAGGGGACACCAGCTTTACCATATCTCTCTACCCACAGCTGTCTCCCTTATGACGTCACCCCTGAGCAGGCTTTGAGCCACTCTGAAGTCCAGAGGCGATTAGACATCTCCCTACGCAATCTCCTCGCCATGACTGATAAATTCTTTGTCGCCATCAATTCATCTGTGGATCACATCCCGTATGTATAACCGCCTCCCCCAGGGATAGCTCAGTTTGGAAGGGGGGAGCAGAACAAGTAACATCCCAAAGGAAAGGGGATGGAAAGGAGGAGCCAGAGGTGCCTGTCAGGTCTTCAGATGTATTGAAGCCCTTGCCAGGGAACTGAGCTGGCATGCTACAGGTGGGTCTGTGTGGCCGGTCAAAGAGAATCCCAAAATGGTGACAGGAACATAGTATTGTCTGAGAACAAGTGAAGAAAAGATGGGATTCTTTGACCCACAAAGTAAAAAGGGGGTACTATTTCAAACTGCTAAAGAACTTCATAATTATAGTCCTCCTCAGACTTTTCTTTCTTCTCTAGATAGGATCTCTCAACATAGCCCTGGCTGTCCTGGAACTTGATATGTAGACCAAGCTGGCTTCAAACTCACACTTATCCACCTCCTTCAGCCTCCCCAGTGCTGGGATTAAAGGGATGCATCACCATGCCTGGCCCTTTTTTATTATTTATTTATTCATCTGTTTATCTATTTATTTATGTGTAGCCCTAGCTGTCCTAGAACTCAACTTTTGTAGACCAGGCTGGCCTCAAACTCAAATATTCACCTACCTCTGCCTCCTGAGTGCTGGGATTAAAGGCATGCACCACCACCTCCAAGCTTGGCCTTTTTTATTTTAAAGATTTTTTTTTTAATGTGTATGGTGTTTTACATGCATGCATATCTGTGCCCGGTGCCCTCAGAGGCCAGAAAAGGGCGACAGATCCCTTGAGACTTTAGTTGGGTAGTTGTGAGCTGCCATGTGGGTGATGGAAATCTTTCTCTGGAAGAGCAGTTACTTATTAACCCAGATCCATCTCTCCAACTCCTAGCTCTCCTCTTTCTTAATAACTAGGAGGTAGAGGCAGAGTGGTCAGACTATATATAAACAAGCCTCATATGTCTTTTTTGGGGGGGAGAGTTTGAGACAGGGTTTCTCTGTATAGCTTTGGAGCCTATCCTGGCACTCGCTCTGGAGACCAGGCTGGCCTCGAACTCACAGAGATCCGCCTGCCTCTGCCTCCTGAGTGCTGGGATTAAAGGCGTGCACCACCAACGCCCGGCCAAGCCTCATACTTCTAAGTTTGAGTCCAGCCTAAGCTACATGAGACCCTGTATGAAAGCAAACAGGCAAACAGAAATTGTTCAATAAATGTTTCGTTGAGAACTATTTGAAAAAGGCAGGTAGTGGTGGCTCACGCCTTTAATCCCTGCACTCAGGAGGCAGAGGCAATTGGATTTCAAGGCCAGCCTGGTCTACAGAGAGAATTTCAGGGCAGCCAGGGCTACACAGAGAAACCCTGTCTCAAAATAAAACAAGTAAATAAACCAAAAAGCTTAAACAACTTTAACATGAAAATGTGAGCATGTAGGTGTCATCTAGGTTCAGCATCCAGCTACTGGCCTTGGTTCTCAGCACTGAGGGTGGTTGAATACCAAAGGGGAAACAGCCCCAAACTGGAGAGCTGGACTGAGACTTTGCAACTGGGAATAAGAAAAGATTGCCTGATGTCTAAGAAGAGAAATACATAGCCAGTTATGAATCTGCTGGTAGCTGGGAGTGGAAATAGCTTTTCACAGAGTCTGATTAGCTTTTCAGTAACAAACCCATCACAGTAACAAAGAAGCTCAGCACATTGGAGTAGCACTGCTACTTTCATAAAAACCTTGTGAGACTGAGCGCTCACTCCAGTCTCCCCAGTCAGGGACAGGTGCGCAAATGGGAAGGACATGGCTGAGAGTGGTTCTCTGGTAGGCAAGCAGCCGCTGCCCCAGCCCAGACATGCAACACAGGACCTCTGGGAGCTGGCAAAGTTGGCTGCCTTGGAGCCTCCTGAGCTTTCAGGTACCCAAGAGACAGAATAACGTGCCTCTGTACCGAAGGTGAGGTGTACTGCAGGCAGAGGTGGTCTGTGGGGAAGTGGAGGGCCTCAGAGAAAAGGTTCCTGAGCTGGCTGTGGTAGCACACAACTGTAGCAGAAGCATTTGGAAGGCAGAGGTTGAGATGATGAGTTTGAGGCCTGCATGTATTGCACTGCAAGACTCTGTCTCAAAAACAAGGAGGTAGGGAGAGCTTTAGGGGGCCAGTCAGGCCCTGTCCCTTGGGGGAAGGGCAAAAGCCCAGGGGCTGAGGACGGCAGCAGGGAGCACTAGTAATGTCTGTGGAATGTGTGTGGGCTCCGTGCTGGTGTGACTGAGACAGGGAGAGAGGTAGCCAGGCTCTCATACCTGAGTCCTGGGACAGGATTGAGAATGGCTACACGTGCCTGTTTTGTTCCTAAGGTATGGGATGAGATATATGGCCAAAGTCCTTCAGACAACCCTGGAGAAGAAGTTCCCTGGTGCCTCAGAGAGTGAAATCTATAAGGCAAGTGTTGTGTCTTTTCTACCACCTCCAAGACCCTCCTTTGCCCAATTTTTGCCCATAATCCCCAGACAGATACGGATGGCAAACTATGGTATAAACATCCAAAGAAAGAAATGGGTCCCATTCTATAAACAGAGCCTGGCCCACCACTGTGGAATGTGGGGCTCTGGCTGTCAAGGTGGCTTCTAGAACTTTCTAGAAGAATGTTCTCCTCTGCACTCAGGTGGTTGGGAACCTCCTGTACTACCGCTTCCTGAACCCAGCTGTGGTAGCTCCTGATGCCTTCGACATTGTGTCCATGGCAGCAGGCAGCACCATGGCCACCCCACAGCGCCATGCACTAGGGGCTCTGGCTCAACTCCTACAGCATGCTGCTGCTGGCAAGATCTTCTCCGGCGAGAGCCAGCACCTTCAAGTCCTGAATAGCTACCTGGAGGACATGCATCTCAAATTCAGGTCTTGAGTCCTGGCACCCTGTCCCTCCCTGACCCTCTCTCCACTCTTTATGTTTGCATCCTGCTCTCCTCTCTAGAGTCTGAGGAAGAAAAATCCAGAGGCACAGGGGATAGGGGAGCCCTAGAGGGCGGTGATAGACCTCCAGGGGACAGAGAAGACCATCAAAAGCTAGTTTGGATGGCACACTGAGACAGGGAGACCCAGACAAAAGCAGCAGACTTGACCTGACTTGGATGGTGGCCATCCTGGCGGTGAGGACTCTGGCCTCGTCCACTCTGACATACCTTCTCTCTGAGATAGGAAGTTCATCTACAGAGCCTGCCAGGTACCAGAGCCAGAGGAGCGCTTTGCCATAGATGAGTACTCAGATATGGTAGCTGTGGCCAAACCAATGGTGTACATCACTGTAGGCGAGCTGATCAGCACGCACAGGGTAAGAGACCAGCACTGGAGGGCTAGGCGAAGGTCCTTGCAGATCCCTGGCTCCCATAGCCCTGCTTGGTTCAACCCTGCACCCACTTTCCTTCTACCATCCACAGCTCTTGTTGGAACACCAAGACCAACTGGCCCCGGATCACCAAGACCCCCTGCACCAGCTCCTAGAGGACCTAGGAGAGCCACCCACCATCGCTGACCTCATCGGTGTGTGCCTTCTTAGCATCTGGAGCCAGCTAGACCTTCAAGGATGTCTGTCAGCAGGCAGCTCATCATAGGGAACCTCCCTGTTGTTGCCTATGTCTCTGATGGACACAGACTCACAGCCATGTATGGACAGTGCACAGATATTGATGCTAGAGGAGAAGAAACTATGACAATGACCAATGCAATCATGTACAAGAAATGTGGCGGGAGATGGCCTCTCGGGTCCTCCTAGGTCTAGATGTCTTGCTCTAGAGCTCTGAAATGAGAGGAGTTTGTCAGGCAGTGGAAGGGCAGTGTTGGTGGCGTGCCAGGACCTCTAAACCACAAGGCCCAGCTGGCACCCAGGTTGAGCTCATGCAGAGGCCTAGAGGTAGTGGCTTAAGTCCTTCCATGGGTGTTAAGGTTGAGGGCATGTATGGTCCCATGGGACAGTGTGGGACAGAGGAGCACTTATGCTGTGACCCCCATCTCATCTCTCATCCCACCTCAGGTGAGAACGTAGCCACAGATGGGCAAGTGGATCTGAGCAGACTCGAAGTGTCCCTGACACTCACCAACAAGTTGGAAGGGCTGGAGTCCGATACTGACGACACCAGCAACCAAAGCCTGCTTCTGAGGTGGGTGTGGTGGCCCTGGGCTCAGTAGCCCTGCTGCCTATACTGTGGTCCCACTTAGAGACGGCCATCATACCTTCTTATTGCCCCACCCACCCCAATTCTTCTACAAGCTCTCCCTGAAGCCCTAGTCACATTCACCTCGCTCAGAATAGTGTCAGCTATTCTTTGGCGACCTCTCAGCCTTTCCCCTGGAGTCATAGCTGAAGGTGCCAAGTGATTGGGACCCTGGAGCAGCAGGTGTCCACAGGACATGCTGCTACCCAAATGCTTTGGTTTGTTTATTTTTGAGACAGGATCGCCCGTTTTACCTCCTGTGGCCTAAATTTGCTTGTAGTCCAGGCTGGCCTGAAATTCTAGGTAATCCTCCTATTTTAGCTGAGATTACAGACATGAGCCACTATGTCTGGCTTGGCCAAATCCTTTTTTCCTTTTTGAGACGGGGTTTCTCTGTGTAATAGTTCTGGCTGCCTGGCTGTACTAGAACTCACTTTGTAGACCAGGTTGGCCTGGAACTCACTGAGATCCTCCTGCCTCCCAAGTGCCGGGATTAAAGGCGTGCAGTGCCGGGGTTAAAGGCATGTGCACCCCCCCCACACACACACAGATGACCAAATGTTTTTTAGGTTAGCATTTCACTTTGGGAGCAAGCTACTTCAGGTAAGGAGGGGGTTCAGGCGGAAGCCTCCTCTAAAGTCCGTAGCCCTCCGAAGGTGGGACTAGGTTGTCATGCCTGCCCTAACTGATGGTCAGAAGAAAAGCTAAAACATTTTTTTCTCTACTCTACTCATTATTGTTGTGTATGTGTGTGCATGATCAGGGGTCAGGGGAAGCACATGTGTGGAGATCAGGACAGCTTTGTGGAATCAGTTCTTATGAAAAATTTCCATCTTCACATGGGTTCCAGGGATGGAACTCACATCCACAGGCTTGCACAGCAGGGACCTTTCCCCACAGCCATCTTACCAACCAGGCCTGGGAAATGACTCTTCACACTTCTGTAAAAGTCTTCTGGAAGGATCACACAGGGCTGGGCTGGCCACTTGGGCTTGTTAGCAGCACCATCTCCCTGAGGCAGCTCTCCACTCATTCATACACTGTCCACGAGACTGCCAGAGCTGCAATGTTAGCAGAACGATGCCCAGAGAGGAGGGGTCAGGTGCCTTGAGAATCAGCCATGGGGACTAGCTGGAGTAGGTGAATGCTTGGGCGGGAGGATCAGAGGAGGCCAGTTTGAGGGAAGGAACTCTGAGAGGGGACAGCGCCTCTCCTGGATCCTCTCACTCTTCATCTGGGCATGCCCAGACCCGGGGCAGGATCCACTTACCCTTAGCTCTTCCGATACTCTGTCCAGGCCATTCCTAAACCTCACCCTGTCCCCCTTGTAGTACCAAACAGATGCTGGCTGACCTCATCCAGTTCCACCCTGGGGATTCTCTCGAGGAGATCCTGTCCTTCTCAGCTCCCAGAGAGCAGGTGAGTAGCCAGGACAGCTGGGGTGAGGATAGCGCTGAGGGGCAGTATCTTCTGAAGGTAGTGGGCTGGAGCGTTGGAGGGTTTGGAGCCAGGAAAGGGTGCCAGGTGGGCTCCCTGTTGGGGCCAGAATAAGGGCAAAGCCAGTTCCCTGAGTAAAGGTGGTAATGGCAGGCAGAGGCATGTCACACAACAGCTAGGCACGCTCCACATGCACCTCATGCCCACAGGGTACCACGATGGGTTGGGAGGCTGTTAGCAGCCAGTGTCTCCTTGGTCTGCATGTGTCCTTTGGGCCACCTGTGATCCACAGGGCACTTCCATGCATTGTTGCCTGTGTGTTCTCCACCTTCCCCCACAGAAGCTAGGCTGGGAAGCCGGGACTTTTTCTGAAAACTCACAGGGATGTGCACAGGACTCCGAAGCAGGGGTTTGTCCTGGTTTGAAGTAGGATGGTAGGGCCTGGGACCTCCTCAGCATCTCTGCCCTGCCCCCCAGGAAGAGGCCCATCACCGGCTGATGTGTTGGCGCCAGGCCTGTGACACCCAGAAACCAGAGTCTCTGCGACGACACCACTCAATGATGGCACACTCCCTCCTGCCACTGGCAGAGAAGCAGCGACGCGTCCAGCGCAACCTGCGTCGGCTACAGGGCCTGGGGCTGGTCAGGGCCGGTGACTGCTACCAGGGACTGGTGGATGAGCTGGCCAAGGTAATAACCCAGGCCAGGACTACGTGTGGCCACATGCAAAGCCACTGTGCTGGCATTCCAAAGGCAGTTCTGCCTGGTGGGTGCCACCCCATATTGTCAGCAACTTAAGGAAGGCCCAGGGTTCTTTTTGAAGGAAAGATCTTAAGGTTAAGTAGGCAGACCGATTTTTTTCTGAGCTCTCTTCCACTAAAACATTCCAAAACACCCAGGGCTGCTATACAGAGAAACCCTGACTCAAAAAAGAAAAAAAAAAAAAAAAAAAAAGACATGGTTTCACAGAAAGAAAGAAGCACCGAGTTTGTGCCTGGGTGTTAGGTATAGTATCCTTGGACTGTCTCTTACGTAAAACAGCTTTCGAGGTGGCCTCTTCCTGGTACTGGGAATGAAACACACGTGCCAGGCAGACACTGCCCTGAGCCTCTCCTGCCCCAGCCCTCATCCTGTCTTCTTAAACGCTTCACAGTGAGCCAGTGAAGCCTCTAGGACTTAGGAAGTCCCGCTTCCCCACCCCTATCTGCAGGACATCTGCAACCAGCGCAGGCACCGGCAACGGCGGAAGGCAGAGATGCTGAGACTTCGGGCCACACTGCAGGGCCTAGATGCAAAAACCACCTTCTATGAGGAACAGGGCGACTACTACAACCAGTACATCCAGGCCTGCCTTGACCACCTGGCCCCCAAAGCCAAGTAGGTGTTGTGAGCCCTACCCTAACCCCCCGGCTCCTTCGCCGCCTCTCTGTCCACCTTTGCCCTGTCATCTCCCACCCCTGGCCAGGAATCACCCCCAGTACAGCACTGCTCGCTCCTAACTCTGGCGTTTGTGGCTCTCCCCTCGCCTTCCACAGCCGGGAGGCTCCTCACCAGCCACCAGGAGCTGTCAGGCAGTATTGAAAGTTTATGGGACAAACTCTCTGGGGCCTTCTTTTAAGCAGGAGTTCTGGAAAGGGGAAGAAGCAGCCGTGTCTTCATTACACAGCCGCCCAGCTGCTGGAAAAGGGCGTCTTGGTGGAAATTGAAGACCTCCCTGTCTCTCAGTATGTGTCTTTGAGGGGCAGAATGTCAGACCCTTCCTGGGAGGCACGAGGCTGGGATGGAGCTCTGAGCAGGGCGTGGGGTTAGAAGAAAGCTGCTTGCTGAAGGGAAGGTAGGGAGATGGGACATCTCCAAGCAGAGGAAGGGCAGCAGACATGTTCTAGCACTGGGAAAGCTTCCTGGAGGGGAGAGCAGCTTGGTGGGGCCAGGCAAGCAAAAAAAATTAAATAGGTAGAAGTCAAACTCGGAGAAGACAGAATAGGCCCCAGCAATGGGGCACACGGGGAAGCCAGGGCTGTCTGTGGCACACACTGCTGCCCCAATGAGCAGCTGCAGGAGAGGGGCGGGGCTCCGAAAAGAGGAGCCCTGTATTGACTCCTGTTCCTGACAGCTTCAGGAATGTCATCTTTGACATCACGCCCGGAGATGAGGCAGGAAGGTTTGCTGTAAATGCCAAGTTCCTGGGTGTGGACATGGAGCAATTTCAGCTCCACTACCAGGTGAGACCCTTAGAGCCCCTGCTAGAGCCTGGCCTATGGGTGGAGGTCTGCAATCCAAGTACCCAAGAGGCTGAGGCAGAAGGAGCAGAAGTTCAAGCTCCAGGGCTGACCCATTGCTCAGCTCACACACTTACCTCACACACGGTGGAGGTAGAGAATTGACTCCTGTAGGCTTGAACTCTGACCTCTACACATGCACTGAGGTGTGCATGACAACATATATGTACACACACAAATAAAATTAAGAAAATAATTATGAAAAATAAATATGAAACAAAACAATTTTTTTTCATTTCAAGGCCAAACTTGGACTACAGAGTTCAAGGCTAGCCTGAGGAAATTAGTGAGACCTTATTTCAAAACAAAAAGTAAAGCTGGGATGCTGGTCCACTCCTTTAATCCCAGTTCTGGGAAGCAGAGTTCCAGGTCAGCCTGGACTACATGAGACCCTAACTCAAAACAAAAACCTAAGATTAAAATTTTTGAAAGGGCTGGAGAGATGGCACAGTGTGTGAGAACGCTGACTGCTCTTCCAAAGGACCCAGGTTCAAGTCCCAGCACCCACCCACCCAGAGGCAGCTAACAACTGTCTCTAACTTCAGAATCTGATACCCTCACACAGACATACATGCAGGCAAAATACCATTGCAAATAAATATTTAATAAAATAAAATTTAAAAGAGAGCTAGGGATATAGCTCAGTGGTAGAGTGCTTGCTTAGCATCCCTGAAGCCCTAGGTCAAACCTCAACCCCGAGAAACAAATACGTTGTCCCCCCACCCCAAGGCTTTAGGCTTCAGCTCCCTGCTAGCTGCTCTGCAGCATCTGCCCATTTTATAGGCTCAGAGGCTAAAAGATTGAGAAGCTGACCTCAGTTCTAGCTGGTGTTGAGGGAGTGTGATTTCATTTTTATTTGAAACGAGGTCTCGTGTAGCTTAGAATGCCTTGACTAGCTGAGGGTGGCCTTAACTTTATGATTAGCTCTCCTCCTTCCCAGTGCACTACCTCACCTGACTTGGGGGGTCCCAGGGCTTCACACATTATAGGCAAGTACTATTCCAACTGAACTGCACTCCCAATCCCTTATCTTAAAGATTGTTATTTTTACATGGGTTCTGGGAATCCAGCTCAGGTCCTTGACAAGCACTTTGCCAACTGCATTATATCCAGCTCTATTTTCTGTTGCTATTGTCGGAGTGGTTTTTTTTAAGAGTCAGGGTCCTGAACCTAGAGCCTGCCAGCTCACAGTTTTAAGTAGGTTGGCTAGCCAGTGGACCTCTGGGGTCTACCTGTCTCAGCCTCCCTGGGCCAGGGTTATAACACACACCTCCATGGGTGCTGAAGATCCAAACTCAGATCCTCACTCAGCATGCACTTCCTCTGCTGAATCACACCCTTAACCCCCCTTTTTTTTTGGGGGGGGGGCAGTTCAAGACAGGGTTTTCTGTGGCTTTGGAGGCTGTCCTGGAACTAGCTCTTGTAGACCAGGCTGGTCTTGAACTCACAGAGATCCACCTGCCTCTGCCTCCCCAGTGCTGGGATTAAAGGTGTGCACCACCGCTGCCTGTCTTTAGCTTTATTTATTTTTTAAGATTTATTTATTATATATACAGTGTTCTGCCTGCATGTATACCTGCAGGCCAGAAGAGGGCACCAGTTCTCATTATAGATGGTTGTAAACCACCTTGTGGTTGCTAGGAATTGAACTCAGGACCTCTGGAAGAGCAGCCCGTGCTCATAACCACTGACCCATCTCTCCAGCCCTGGCTTTATTTTTAAGACAGAGTTTCAATCTGTAGCTCAAGGCTAGCCTCAAACACACAGAACTTTGCCTTCTGTGACTCCCAAGTGGTAGAACTAAAGTCACAAGACACCATGCCCAGGTCCTATTTAATGCTTGGCTTTTTGTTGTTGCTGTTGTTTAGTTTTTGTTTTGTTCTGTTTTGTTTTTTGAAACAGAGTTTCTCTATGGCTTTGGAGCCTGTCCTAGAACTAGCCCTTGTAAAACAGGCTGGTCTCAAACTCACAGAGATCCACCTGCCTCTGCCTCCCGAGTGCTGGAATTGAAGCTATGCACCACCAAGCCTGGCTGCTGGGCTTTTTTTTTTTTTTAAGATTTATTTTATTTTTTATTTGTGTATTTGTATGTGCAAACTCATTCAGATGCCCAGAGAGGCCAGAAGATTGTGTTGGATCCCCTGGAACTGGAGTTACAGGTGGTTGTGAGCCACCATGTGGGTGCTGGAAATTGAACTCAGCTCCTCTGCAAGAGCAGCCAGTGCTCTTAACCACTGAGCCATCTGTCCAGACCTATTTATTGTTTTTTGTTTGTTTGAGAAAGGGTCCTATTCCATAGCCCAGGCTGGCCTGGAACTTATCCCTGTCCTTGTGCCTCCTCCCAGATGCTGGAGTTAAAGGCGTGTGCCCCCATAACCTGGCTCAGAGAGGTGGTTTTCAGCACGAGTCTCTGCTGTTTGCCTTGTGAATAAGAAACCTAGTTTCAAGCCCTGGCTCTACTTGGCTTGACATTTGGTTAAATCACGGGGCCTGTTTTTCTCATTCGCAGAGTGGGCTTTCAACACCCTGCTTCAGTGGCCAGTGCTCCTGGCAGCTGTAAGGCTTCATGACAAGTGTTTCATAGGTTGGCCGGGCCACTCCCAGAAGCTCATAAATCCCCCCTCCCTGTTCCCTCCCTCCTAGGACCTCTTGCAGCTGCAGTATGAGGGTGTGGCTGTCATGAAGCTCTTTAACAAAGCCAAAGTCAATGTCAATCTTCTCATCTTCCTCCTCAACAAGAAGTTCCTTCGGAAGTGATGCTGCCTGGCCCCGGCCTCTTAGCTGACTGGCTACTGTGCTTTAACCGGTTGTGCTCCCTGCAGACCAGGCTCAGGCCTGCCCATGACTCACAATTCTCGACCCTTACTGCCCAAGAGGAATTGTCCTACTTGGCTACAAACACTGGTGTTTCTACCCAGCTGAAGTGAGCCTTTGGCTTTTCCCACACATCTGGCCCCATCCCCGTGAACCAGGAACCTGCACTCATTCCCGGAAGGGCTCACAGTTGGTCACCCCATTATTTGAAAGTACTTGCAGCACTACCCAACAGCCTATCTCCCTTTCTTTCCACAGACTTCCAAATCCAGGGCCAGACTGTCTGCCCGACCTCCCCTTAAAAAGCAAGTCCTGGGCATTGCTGTCCCCTGCAGCCCAGGGTCCTCTGTGCTGTGCCCTCAACAGCCTCCAGCCTTTCACCACGGCCCAGCAATAACGTGGGTGCAGCATTTGCTGACGTCCTCCATGGCAGCCGGATACACACCTCAAATCTCATTCCTTCATTTATGGTCTGTTTCTCATGTGTGTCAGTGGGGTATTTATTCTAGCCTGATTGTTGTGTAGCCTTAATTTTAATTGGTTTTAATTCTCACTTTTGAACTCAAAGAGTTCTCGTTCCCCCCCTTCAAATTTCCTCTCCCTTATATTCAAGTCTCTTGGGGTTGGAGCAGGGAGGCTCCTGGCTCCAGCTGAAGAGTCATTGTCTCAGCTTTCCACAGGACAAAAAGCTGTCTTGCCATTCTCCTTGTCACCACAGAGCTGTCTTCCAGGTGGTTCCCATAGAACTGCAGGCTCGCCTCTGCCACTCTGTGTCCACCCCACACCTCCCAGCTTCTTGCCCTCTCTGCCCTCTAGATTTCCTCTCAATAAAGCCCACTGAAAACCCACATCTGTTAACCCCTCGTGTTATCTCCTGTAGCACAGCCCTCAAGACCTGGGAAGCAGTTTCAGAGAGCTTGGGGGTGCATTCCCCAGCAGCTTTCTACCTGCCCTGGGCACATGCCAATCATGCCTGCCTTCTCAGGCTTGTACAAGTGGAGGACATGGCATCTCTTCCTCTTTTCCAGGGGACAGAGGGAAGGAAGAAATGCTTAGGTTGATTGTTTCCACTGGCCACTCTAAGAGCTTAGGCTGAGAAGAGACCAGTCTAGACCCCATCCACCCATTTTACACAGCTCCCACTTGTGCTGGGAAGCTGCGGGGGGGGGGGGGGGGGGAGGAGGACGGGGACAACACGACGACACAGACGAACTCAGCAGCATCTACTGGGCGCCTGCATTTTCCTGGTACAGCCTGCCTGCCTCTACCCCATGCCATTCTGTCACTCAGTTATCTGTCTTGCTGTCACATTCAATCTCACTCAAAGCCTCTTCCCCCTTAACATGTCACGGTAAAAACTTCAAGTGCTGCCTTGCTCTGGGTGACAGTGACATATACCAGGATCCTAGTTTCTACGCATACACAGTCATTAAAAATCTCACACTCACCAAGTAGCTCTGACATTGTCCTGCTGCAGAAGCAGCATTCACGAGCACACACACACACACACACACACACACACACACACACACACACACACACACACACACACACACACACACACAGAGTCACGAGCTCAGCCAAACATACCACATGGAGAAATGTCAAAATAGCTAAGCTGTAAAGGTCATCACAGGACCCGTCAGTGCCGTCCCTTGCATCCATCCCTGAGACTTGTCACTCTCACCCCACACTGCTCCACCTGGTAACAATTCCTAATAAGCTCAAGTTAGTCAATGTCCTTGCCAACTTCCAAGGCCCAATTTGAGATTACAGGGACTGAGCCTCTGTGGGTGGGAGTAGCAGAGATTTAAATACAAAGTGCCAGCAAACAGAAAAAGTATTCTAATCCAGGCATCTCAGCACATGGTAGTTGAGGCAGTATATTCAAGACCAGCCTTGGGGCCGGGTGTTGGTGGCGCACACCTTTAACCCCAGCACTGGGGAGGCAGAGGCAGGCAGATCTCTGTGAGTCTGATGCTAGCCTGGTCTACAGATTGAGGTCCAGGACAGGATCCAAAGCTACAGAGAAACCCTGTCTTAACCACCCAACCTCCCCCCAAAAAAAGACCATCCTTGGCTACATTCAACATTCAAGCCCCAGGGGCTAAGGATGTAACTCTGGTCTTGGGTGTCTTCAGTAGATGGTCCTGAGAAAAATTGGAAATCCACACTTTTAGAAAGGAATGGCATTAAACCCTAAACCCCTGACTTGCACCATATGTGGATACTGTTTTTTGAGAGTCTCACTACATAGCACAAGCTGGCTCTGAACTTGTAACTTTCCTGCCTTAACCTCCCAAGTGTTGGGAGGAAATTCACTCAAAGTGGTTCATGGAATTTAAATGGGAAAAAAAAAAAAACAAAAAAACAAAAGACAACAGCAGCTATAGAACCCTTAGAAGAAAACAGGCTGGACTAGGGCTCAGTAAGTAGGGAGCCTACCTAGAAAGCACAAAGCTATGGGTTTGAGTCCCTGCACTGCATAAAACCAGGTGTGGTAGTGTGCACCTGTAATCCCAGCACTCTGAAGACAGGAGAACAAAAGTCTGTGTTGACTACATGCCAAGTGCAAATCCACCTTTGTATACATGAGATCCTGACGTGTGTGTGTGTGCCTACACACACACACACAAACCTAAATTTCCTTTACTTTGGCTTGACAGTTTTTTTAGGGAATAAAAAGCAAAGGGTAGGCAAGCTAGCTTTACCAGCCTGAAAGGTGGTGCTTTGAAGACCACGTTCAAGCTAATGAAAAGACACGCAGTGATGCACACTTGTAACCCAGCACCATGTGAGGAGCAGGAGGATCGCCACCAGTGGGAGCTCAGCCAATGCTGCATAGTGAATCCCAGACCAGAGAAAGCAGCAAACAAAAAGAAAACAGTCCCAAAGAGCATCGGGCAGGGGGTGACTTCTAAGGTGTTCATCAGCAGTCGCTAAGTACACGCAGCTCAAAAGCACCATGAAGGGATAGAAAGGACACAGCATCCGTCTCTGCTTCCAGGCTGCAAATACCATGTGACCAGCACCTGAGACTCCTGTTTCTGTGCTGTCCCTGACGTGTGTACTATAACCTCAGACTTAAGTAGTACACCTTTCCCTGCTAGGACAGCTAACACAGGGTAGTAAGGATGTAGAGAAACTACAATGTGTGCATCACTCCTGGGAAAGTCATGTTGGCAATTCCTCAAAACATTAAGCAGAGTTATCATGTAACCCAACAATTCCACTCAAGAAAACTGAAGCCAGACATGTTTTTAATGCCAGCACTTGGGAGACAGAGACAGGCAGATCTCTGAGTTTGGGGTGTAAAAAGTGAGTTCCAGAATAGCCAGGGCTACACAGAGAAACCCTGTCTCCAAAAAACTAAAATTAAAATAAGCAATCTCCCTACACGATATATTGAAAACAAGATGGAGGGATAGTTCAGGTGTTAAATGCACTGGCTGCTCGTCTTCATGACCTAGGTTCAGTTCCCAGCACTCAAATGGTGGCTCGCAACCATCTATAGCTCACTTCAGATCTGGTGCCTTCTTCCAGGCACTGTTGGCAGCCTGGGACAAACTCTTCAAATACCAGGCACATAAATACATGCAGGCAAAACACTCAAACATAAAAACATTAAACCTTTAAAAAAAAATAATAGTGAGGCTGGGCAGTGGTGGCACACACCTTTAATCCTAGCACTTGGGAGGCAGAAACAGGTGAATCTCTGTGAGTTCGAGTCCAGCCTGGCCTATATAAAGTGACTTCCAGGACAGGCTCCAAAGCCACTGAGAAACCCTGTCTCGAAAAATCAAAAAAGGAAAAATAATATTGAAAACACATTTCATGCAAAAGTCTTTCGTAAGTATTCATGTCAGCATTATTTGCAATAACCACCAACTGATAAATGAATAAGCTCAGATGGGCAGTCCACACAGCGGTATATTAGCCATTAAAAGCAGCAGGGCTCTGAAGTACAGACAAAGCTTGACAACAGGCTATTGTACACACCTTTAATCTCAGCACTCGGGAGACAGAGGCAGGTGGATCTCTGTGAATTTGAGGCCAGCCTGGTCTTCTGAGAGTTCCAGGACATGGAACTCTATGTAGCTAAGGCTACATAGAGAAACCTGTCTCAAAAAAATGTTTTAATTAAAAAAATGAACTGTTCACTTTGGCAGCACATATACTAAATTTGGAATGATATAGAGAAGATTAGCATGGCCCCTGTTCAAGGATGACATGCAAATTCATGAAGCATTCCATATTTTAAAAACACATCATACATACATACATACATACATACATACATACATACAAATAAGCATATATACAAAAGGTGCATATCTTTAATCCCAGCACTTAGGAGGTAGAGGCAAACAGATCTCTGTGAATTTGAGGACAACCTGGTCTACATAGTAAATTCCAGGACTATGCAGGGAGTCTCCGTCCCAAAAGAATATTTTTTCTGCATTTATTTCTACATTATGGAAGGTACATTCATGCCATGGTGATCACCTGGAGGTTAAAAAAAAAGTTTCACTTCTTTTTTCTACTATGTGGATTCTGGGTATGCAACGCAGGTGGCCAGACTACCCACTGAACCATCATACCAGCTACATTAAGACTATGTCTCAAAAAATATAAGACAAAGATATCACAACCATACCTGTTTAAATGCTTTTATTAAATTCAGATGCATTACACAGCATTTCCCAGAAATACTGGCCCCAGAAATCTTAAACCCTTTTATTCTTATGTTTTGATGTGCTGGGCTTGTATACGTGTCTTCCTGCTTACTAAGCATGTAGTCTCCAATTGAGCTGCCAATCCCCTCAAACCTTCTCTTGTAAAAGCTTACAGTATACTTTCCCTTTTCTTTTTTGTTTCACTTCAAACAAATGGTCTAGTGCATATGCCATCTCAGCACAGAAAACTCCAGTAATTCATATAAAAAGTAAAGTAAAATCTACCGCCCCCACCTTCCTCACAGGTGGCACTGTTGGCAGCCTGGGACAAACTCTTCAAAGCCTTCCTTCTACACACTTGCCTTCATGTGCATACTCAGATCTTGGCTAACTGTATTTCCCAAAGTGACTGTATTTGCTCTTTTACCTGCTCATACCTTCTGCATGAGGTGGTGGCTCTGGCCTCCACACTAGAAGCTAGACAGTCTAGTACTCCCTTAGCTACTGTATGACCTGGTAATGCTGTGTCCCCCGAAGCCAGGTCATTGCTATGGTTTAGACCTGGTCTGCATCCTACTAGAGTTTCTGTGTCCCAGTTTAATTTCCATCATGTGGTATTAAGAGGGTGGAAACTGGACTGGAGGCATAGCTAAGTGAGGGGGAGAATGTGAAGCTATGGGTTCAATCCAGGGCCCCCAAAAGAAAACAGAAAAGAGGGCAGAATTTCATATGACCATGGTATTTGGGGAAGGGATTAGGGCTAGATAAGAACACTTGAGTGGAGCCTCATGATTGAATTTACAAGAGACACAAATGCAAAGTCCCTGTTATTGTCATTGGATGCCCTGTACCACCTTGGGACTTCCCTGGCAAGAAGACCAACATGAAATGTGGCCAAGATGTCCAAAACTGTGAGCCGAGAATAAACAGGGCTGTTATTGTTTACAAAGTATAATCTTGTAGTATTGTGCCATTGCTTTGTTTGCACTTTGACAAGTTCTTACAATGAAGATCAAGCTGGCCTGACACTATCACCCTTGCCTTGGCTTCCCAAGTGCTGGGCTTAACAGGAGTGAGTCATTATGCCCTGTTGGTATTGTGTTATTAGCAACAGAAAACAGGCTAATGCAGTCACCAAAACCAATAGTGAGGTGCTACAGAGTGTTTAGAAT